ACACAGGGCTTCTTATGGCCTGGCTGGGTCTTATTGTAAACAAATTGAATACTAATACCTTCAGCCTAAAAAGTCTTGAAGAAAGGAAAGGAAACAGGCTGGGGTGGGGCAAAAGGGGAGGGAAAGGGAGGAGGAGATAATGGAACTCACCTATCCTGTTATATAGCTGGGGAGATGGATGAGAAAGTGTTTTCAAACTTCTCCAAGGCTCTTAGAGAGGAAGCATTCTATAAAATATGGTGTGCTTCATGGTCAGGAAGTGAAAAACCCTAGAACTTGAGCACATAAATTCCCCCATATGCAACTTCCTGGCATTTCCGCTTGAAAATAAACCATAAAAGCTTTCACAGAAAATTGCATAAGATTTCTTAAGACTTATTTTTCTGAATGCTCGTCTTCACCACCCCTCAAATACATGCATCTGATAACTCTTTCAAGGTCTCTATTTACTTGTCACCTTGTGAATGAGCTGTCACCTGAATGCTCATAAAAAATAGTGACACCCTTCCCCTCTGCCTCAGCATTCCCTGTATACCTTACTCTAGTTTCTTTTCAAGATTGCTATCTGATATACTACATATGTATGTGGTTTAGTTATTGTTCTTTATTTTCTCTTTCCTCTCTACTGTAAACTCCTTAAAGTCTGAGAGTATATTAGTTAGCTTCTTCAGTATAACAAATCACCCCAAAATTCAGTGCCTTGAAAGAGCAACCATTTATTTAGTTCTTTAATGATTTGGGTTGAATGAATCTGGGAAGTTCTTCTGGTCTTGGCTGTGTTCCCTCTTGTGACTGCAGTCAGCTGCTAAGTCAATTAGGATCTAGTTGGTCCAGGATGGCCTCAGCTGGGATGACTCCTCTGCTCCATCTGGTCTCTCGGTCTCCAGAAAGTGAGCACAGGCTTGTTCACATGGCAGCTGGGCAGGGTTCCAAGGGAGCAAGTGGAGCAGTGCAAGACCCCTTGAGTTCCATGGTCAGAACTGATACCTTAACAATGCTGCCCCATTTATTCATTAAAGCAAGTCACAAGTTCAGCCCAGATCCAAGATATTAAAGAACAGCCTTCGTGTCTTTTTTTTTTAACATATTCATTACTTCACATACTTATCAATTTTTGTGTGTTGAAAACACTTAAAATCTATTCTCTTAGAAATTTTTAATAGCCTCCATATCTTGATAAGAGAAGCTGAAAACAAAATTTAAAAAGAGTAGACATATGAAGGGGAATAAAGGTGGCCATTTTTGCAAAGTATCTACCAGAAGACTTCACCTGATTTGTTCACTGCTGTATTCTGAGTAAGTAAAACAGTGCCTCGCCCATAGGCACTCCAGAAATATTAGTTGAATGAACATATGAATCATGCCCACCATTCCTGAGCTAGAGGCTTTCTGGTAAATTACCCTTCTCTGTTGTAAATACTTACAATATAGTAGATGCTTATAGTACACTTCATTTTGGTGAACATTTGCAATTAGAATCCTATGTCTACTGTTCTTTTAAATTTAAAAAATAATGTCCACAGTCTACTTTCCATTTTCTTTAGTTCTTGCAAAGTCAGACTAATTGTCTCCAGAGACCATGAAGCATGCCATATTTTATAGAATGCTTCCTCTCCAAGGGCCTTGGAGAAGTTTCAAAACACTTTCTCATCCATCTCCCCAGCTATATAACAAGATAGGTGAGTTCCATTATCTCCTCCTCCCCTTCCCTCTCCCTTATGCCCCCCCCAGCCTGTTTCCTTTCCTTTCTTCAAGGAAGAAACAAGCTTAGGCACAACAGAATAAACACCTGCCAGTATAAGACAGCTTCTCGAAATCTTGGTCTGGGGAACCTTCTGAAAGCCTGGGCAGTTGCACAGGGTTACAGACAGGGGGCATGGAAATGCCCAGGATAGGGTTAGATATTGAAATGTCTGAGGACTCAACTCATTTCTTTATTCCTGCCATTGCCACATAAACAAAGCAAGTTGAAAAATAGAAGAAATTCACCAGATACTTTAGCCTCACCACTATGGTCTAAAAGTTTGTGTCCCCCCAAAATACATATGTTGAAATTCTAACTCTCAATGTGATAGTATTAGCAGAGGTAATTAGGTCAAGAGGGCAGAGCCCTCTTAAATAGAATTCATGCTCTTAGAAAAGAGGCTCCAGAGAGTTCCATCATCCCTTTTGCCATGTGAGGTTACAGAGAAAAGATGGCCATCTATGAACAGGGAAGCATGCCCTGACCAGGCACCAAACCTGCCAACACCTTGATCTTGGACTTCCCAGCCTCTGGTTCTGTTGCTTATATATAAATTTCTATTGTTTATAAACTACCCAGTTTGTAGTATTTGTTATAGCAGCCTGAACAGACTAAGACAATAATGAATGTAGTCTTTCTAGTAATATAAGGATCAAATAGGCCTCCTGTAGTCCTTCATAAGTGGACTTGAAGAACAACCTGGATTGCTTAGCTCTCCACTTGGTTAACTGGACAGACCCAAATTTTAAGATTCATGTATCATTCTTAACATGCTGCCTAACATGGTATTTTTGAGTTACTCTCCCTGAAAGGCTGTTGTCCCTTAGAATTCTGCCCTCTTCAAAAAACAAGTAACATGTTCTACTAAAAAAGAAAAGTAACAATAATAAGGGGATTGATCCAATCATTGTATCATTCCTCATATACTCACCCAAATGGCAGATTGCTCAAATGCTGTGACATGTATCAAACCCCTTTCCAGCAAGTCCCTGCCATCTGGGCTGGGAATTCTTTTAGAAGAAGACAAAGCCTTTTCACATTTATGGATGAAACTGCAAAGGGAAAGACTCATAGGAGAAGCAACCCCCGACTTTCCCTTTTCTGTCATTTGCCCAAATCTCCCTAGCTCAAAACGTCATCAGCATCTTCTACTCCCTCTCTTTTCACATCCAGACACCAAGTCCTGCCAGTTTCTTCTTTAATGTATTTTTCATAGACTTTTTTTCCATTCCTCTGCCAGCCTCCAAAATTCAGGCTTTTATTGTTTCACACCTGCCTCAATGAAATTATCACCAAACAAACACTTCTGCTTTCATTATTGGTGGTCTCTAATGACTAAAACTATAGTTCCAGCTTTTTAATCTGGTTTTGCAGAGCCTCTACATATGATCTCTGTGCTTGTCACTTTTTCTCTACTTACTACTGTGTGAATCTTCTGCTTTTGCTAAAATGATCTAATTGGCATTTTTAAAAGGATCTGCTATCTCAAATTTAAATGGTATATTGTGTGTGAAAATCACTTGGCAAAATTGCAAACATTACATAAATATGCATTATTTTGTCTTTCTACCTACCCTGGGTAACTTTGTTGTAACCATTTAATGGTTAATGATTCTCTCCTTATTCTTATGCTCTGCCTCTTAGTCTACTCAAAACATTCTTCTTCTTATCTAGTTACCCCAAACCCCATTCCTTTGGCTTTAGACACATCTTTTCTCTCTCTTCCCAGACCCTTCAGGTTTTGAAACACATAACAGGTTTTGAGTTTGCATCTTTCTCTAAGATCTCATAGTAAACTCATGTTGGCTATTAATCAATGTCCAACAATCAGACAGAAATTTCCACCCATGCCCCTTCTTGGCAGAAGAAGGGATCAGACTATCTTTTGTAACCTCATAAAGAATGTCTGCCTTTTCATATCACCTCTATCTGTCCAGAGCTCAATCATAGATGCTCTATACAGCATGCCCTACCTACTCTTCCCTACCTACCCCAGCCCACAGTGATCTTTGTCCTCTGGGTGAGTATAGAGCCAAACTCCTGTGCTTTGTCCTGATTATGACACCTTGATTCTGCCATGAGTAGTTACTCAGTAGTTTATTCTTATATATCCAACTAGGTTGAAAACTCCTTCATGGTGACAACAGTATCTTGTATTAATTTATAGTCTCATATTTCAACATTATCAAACATTGGCTCTGACAATGTGATCACTGATAATGGGTTAGTGGGCCTTGTTAGTCACAGTGGCAGTGACTAGTAACAATTCCCTCTCTTAGTTGAGATGTTGATAGAGGCCACAGGAAAGTCTGTGGAAAACAGAAAGCCATTGTCCCCTTGAGGAAGAGATGTTGAAGGAGAGAACAAGGGCCAAGAAGGAAGATACACAGAATCAAAAAGACAAATGTTCCAAATTCAGCATTTTACTTAATGTCAGGGATACATTATAACATTTTTCAAATCAGAAACCTCAGAGAGTCCTTGTTCTGTCAATTCCTCTCATTTTACTTTTTATAATTGGGCTTCATGAAGCTTCAAAGTGCTCTTTTCTGTGGCCATAATAGCCCTGACCTCTTGAGGTTTACCTGGGCTTACCTTGCCTTGCAGCCATCATTGTAACACCAGAAAGCAGTAGGATTGAAAAATATAACAATAGAAATAAGAGGTGTTTCTCATGATTCCAGTAAAGGAAAAAAGAGCACAAGAATTAATTTTAATATAGTAATAAGTCTTACATACAGAATACCTCTACCAAAGAATACCCAGCCAGAAAAGAAAATGTCCCTCTATTTTTAACTGAGTAGCAAACTTCAAAACAATGAGCTGCTTCTTTTCAAACCAGGGAAGGTCATTTTCTTCTAGCTGGATATTGTGGGGAAGACAAAAGAGAGGTCTTACCTATGTCTACTGCTTTTAAAAAGGCAGGATTGACCCCTGTCACTTTAACCAGAGGCACAATTTCTCCTGCACATATCTCCCACCCTGTCCATATTAATTAGACAGATACCTAGATCTTACCTGCTTGGTCAGTCAGGGGAGATGCACGGTTTTCTGCCTAAATGATGAGATGTGACTTTCTCTTTCCAGAAACAGAAGTTTTTAAAAAAATCACTCATCTATAATAAGTCTCAGTATTGAAAACTAAACTTATGTTTCTAAGTGTCAGGTCCCTGACCTGTATGGCAGAATCTCCTTTTGATAACTGTATATTTTTAATTTTAAAATAATACAAATAAACACAAGTAGAGTTTTTTGATTAAGATAAAGATACATGTGTTACTGAGATCAGTTTATTGTAGCATTACCATTATTAAAGTCCCTATTGTCACAGGGAAAAATAAAGGCCAATTTTGAGCATCAATATTTTACCTTAATACAAATACTTTAAAAGAAAAAAAAAAGCATCAGGGCACTTTAGAGCTATGCAACTCTTTTATTTCGCTAATTTCTCTATTGCCTTGACAATTATACTCCAACTGTCTCCTCCTTCTCCATTTTTGTATAATTCCTCCAAAGCAGGAAAAACAAATGTAAAAGTCATTGTCATACAATTCTGAAAAGCACAAATAAATAGCAGTTTTGAAACTTCTAATGTAATACTTGCTGGCCAAGGCATACTTTAGAGTTTGAAGTTTGATGAACAAGTTTAGAGTTTGAATTATTTTAAATATAGAATTTGTTCTAAAATTTTAGTAAAACACACATAAAAGTTTGTTTTCTCATATAGCTCTACCTAGACTATTGTGAGCAAAAAAGAAATTGAATTTTCAAGTGAATAATAGTTGTACTGGAGAGATCCACTTTATTTTCTCCACTGCAGACCCTTTTCGGTGTTAGATATGCATAGACAAACCATTCCCAAACTTCTTAACCTTTATCTAAATGGGATACACTTACTTCCAGAGAAAGGGACACCAAATGGAGGCTTTGTTCAGTCTGACAAACAATAAGATGGCTTCAAGTGATAGAGCTGTCCTTTCACCTTGTTAATTATAAACACAAGTGAAATTTTCATTGGCAACGTTTGCAATCTGTAAATGCGACACGGTTCTCAAAACAGCAGATGCAAACATTTAAAAGGTACAGTTGAAGGGAAAGGGGAGTAAGTACCAATAACTTTGTGCAATTACTGGGAAGCAAAACCATTATTCACCAGAAAATTAGAGGCTAGGTCTAACTGTGACAAACCTCTCCATTCCCATCATGTAATGGGAAAGTTACATTCAAACGGAGCACCGGAAATAACTCCCTTTTCTAGGGGCAGCAAAGATTATACCATTTTCTCAGCAGGAGTGACAAAGCTGAAAGAATAACTTTTGAGGGAAAGAAAGCGTGAGGTGCTCCACAAATTCAAAGGGCAAAAAGTCGGTTTCCCTGTGGACTTCTGGCGCAGCAGGATTAGTCAGGACAGGAAGCAAATATTCCCCTACAAAACTCTCAGAGTCTCCTCAGGGGGAGCACTAGCGCTTTGTGACCCCACTATTTAAGGCATCTGCCTCTGAGGTCACAAATACTGCTAACCCATTGGGACCCATTTAATCGAAAGCCCAAAGTCCCTATGTATGAAACGAAGTTCTGCTGACTGCGTGTGTCCGGGACGTCCTGTATAGAACAAATCCAGTTCAGTGTTAGGAGGCGCTAAACAGAGCTATTCCCCAATCTGAAAAGGCCAAGAGGAGAGTATGACTGAGGAGGAAAAAGTCTGCATCCTATGGATAAAATCACTTTTTCAGGTTCCATGGGGAGAACTAGCTGGAGCCCAGGACCCCGCGCCTTGGGGAGCCTTTCCTCTTCGCCGCCCCTTAAAGCCTTCCTGGTCTCTCTGGTCGCAGTTCCCCCAGATCTTGCGCCGCCGGCTTCGGCAAACTCTACGTTGTCTAGTCGCGCTTTAGCGAGTCCCAGAGCGCAGGCAGAGGGACCTGCGCGCGGTACATCCGCGGCGGGCGCTCGGAGCGCAGCGCGCCGCCGGGCACTGACCGCCGGGGCTCGCGCGGGTCCCAGGACTCTGCGTCGCCAGCGCGCACACGGCGTCCCGCGGGCGCCTCCCACAGTAGGTACGTGGCGATTCCTGGAAGAGCCAACTCTCCAGCAACCTACACAAAGAGAAGTCCGCTGTCCCCACTGCGTGATTGTCGGTTTCTTTGGTGAGTGCTGACTCCAAGGCAAGCACAGACAAACTCCGCACACCCTCCTCACTCTCCCACACTGGCCGGGTTTTTCTTATACTTGAAGTCCACTCTAAGAGACACTTTCTGGCCACTTGTTTTGAGTCCAAGAAAGCAAAGCAAGCAGGGGTTGTACACGAGAGAATTATTCTTAGAGTCTATGCAGGGAGGCAGAGATTCTGGGGTGCCAAGGGCACAGGGACGAGCAGACCCTCCCGCCTCTCCCCAGCAGGCAGGTTAGTGCATCGGGAGGGGCGAGAGCACAGAGGGAAACAGGGAAAGGAAAGAAAGGATGAAACCGGAGAAAAGTGAACATTTCTAGGGCAAGAGGGCGGGAGAGACGGAGCAAAGTCCTAAATCTTAAATTCAAGTTCTAGAAGTACGGCGGTCGGGTTTTCTGTTTGGATTTTCTGCCTTGAACGGCTGAGGCTTAAATTTTCAATTGCTAAGATCAAAACTAATGCTGAGGCAAAAAGTCTAAGCCAATGTCGCTTTTCACAGACCCTGGGAGTTTCCGGGTCCCCCCGCCCCGTCGCAGGGGCCTCTTTGCACCGAGCGCCATCCCCTGGCACAGCGGGTGGGGTGGGGACGAGGTCTGGAAGCGGCGGGCGGAACAGCCGAGAAAGTCGGAGGAAAAGCAGCAAGTTATCTTAGGTGTTGGTTCCAGAGTGCTGAGGGAGGCGGAATGAATGGGGCGGGCGGGCCCTGCAGCCCCCGCCTGCGGGCTATTCCTCCGTCATCATCGGCGGCAGAACTTGCACTTAATAATCTTCTTAAATGCGTTTTGAAAGTCCTTGTTGAAGTAGGCGTAAATGACAGGGTTGAGCAGAGAGTTGGAGTAGCCCAGCCAGTTGATAATGGCGCCCAACAGGGTGGGCATGTGGCAGCTGCTCTCGCAGAAGGGCAGGACCAGGGCCACGATGAAGAAGGGCAGCCAGCAGAGGATGAAGGTACCCATGATGATGCCCAGTGTCTTCACTGTCTTCCTCTCGCGGGCCAGGGCCATCTTGCGCTTCGCCTCAGCGTTGCGCTCATTTTTCCTCTCGAAGGAGGAGGGGGCGAAGGGGGCGGCACCCGCCTCGCTGGGCAACGGCAGGTGCTCTTTGGAGTTGCCCACCCGGTGCACCTCTATCACCTCCAGGGCAGCGCCATCGTCGCCCTGCCTTACCGCGCCGTTGGCGCACGGAACCCCCGCTGCCCTGTTCTCCACGCCTCGCCTCCAGTCCCTGGTCCCTGGCTCTCCGTTCACGCTCTTCTTGGGCTGCTGGGCGGGCGATGCTCCAAGGCGGGTGCCCGCTCCTCCGGTCTTCACCTTTTTGACTGTCTTTCGGATGCGGAAGCGCGCAGCTCGGAATATGCGCCCGTAGAGAACCAGCATGAGCAGCAGAGGGATGTAGAAAGCGCCGAAGGTGGAGTAGATAGTGTAGCCGTGGTCCTTGCTGATAGTGCAAGCGTCGGGGTCCGAGCGGTCTTCCGGGGTGCGCCAGCCCAGCATGGGCGGGATGGAGATGAGAAAGCCAATGAGCCAAGTGAGCGAGATGAGCGCAGCGGCGCGCCGGGGCGTCCTCTTGTTCACGTAGTCGATGGGGTCCGTGATGGCCCAGTACCTGTCCAGCGCTATGGCGCACAGGTGCAGGATGGACGAGGTGCAGCACAGCACGTCGAGGGCGATAAACAGGTCGCAGGTGACCTGGCCCAGAGTCCACTTGTTGAGCACCTGGTACAGCGCGGCCATGGGCAGCACCAGCACCGACACCATGAGGTCGGTGACCGCCAATGAGCCAATGAGATAGTTGGCAACATTCTGCAGGGAGCGCTCCAGGGCGATGGCGGCCACCACGCACGCATTGCCCAGCACCGCGCAGAAGATGAGCGTCCCCAGCAGCAGAGAGGTGATTACTTGATAGCTGAAGGTCACGTCGGAGATGCCAGTAGCATTGCGGCCTGTCCCAAGGGGACCCTGGGACGATGTGGTGTTGTTGCCCTGGTCAGGGCTGAGCACATCCATGCCTGCGCGCCCGGCGAGGGGAGGGCGAGGGGAAAAAAAGCTGCGCGAGGATCCCCCTCGCCCCTCCCTTTGGGGTCTTCCGCCCCTTCTCCGGGGAAGTTTCAAGGGGAAGGATGCAGGGACTCAAGCAGGAAGTTCTTACTTCTCTGGCGAAGGTATCTCCGAGGAGCAGATTTTAGGAGCTTCCCGGGCCCCCGCAGTCCAGCGCGCTCAGAGGCTCCAGCTGGGAAACTGGAGTTGGCCAGAAAGCAGCTCGGGGATCTCGGGGCGGTGGAGAGGAGGCTGGAACGTCTGTCTCTCACTGTCCATTTTACTTTGCCGCTGCCCAGCTGTCTGCCGGAGCTGGAGTCTTCCCACTAGCAAACAGTCTCCAATCCCAGAAATATCTGGAATAGAGAAACCCCATCCTCCACGGTCACTCGGTGACCCTCTTCTCCCTTTTTCCTTCCCTCCCTCTCTCTCCCCCTCTTTTCCCTTCTCTTCTCTTTCTCTACAGTCTTCTCCTTTCCCCCTCTCCCTCCTAGCCTTCCGTTTCAGTCACCTTCTCCCTCCTCACTCCCCTTTCTTTATCCTTCTCTGGGTCGCTTAGACAGAGGCTCCCGGTCTCCCACTCTCGCCCTCCCCTCCTAACACTTCCCCAACCCCGAGTGCCTCTTTTCTCTGGGTCCCGCCCTCCTCTCCCTCTAGCTCAGCGTCTTTGCGTTTAAGTCCCTTTTTGTCAACAGAGACTCAGAACTCGCTTACACACACCCGATCCGCGCTGGTCAGACCAACGTTTTAACAAATAAACTCCGCCTCCCACCCAGCCAAATTCGAGGGTGGGGAGAACGTTTTCTAACTACCCAATGCCTCTTATACCTATCAAATTCTTAAACAGAGCATCACACAGTGGCAATAGGAAATGAGAGAAGGAAGCACACGGAGCCTGAATGAGAAGCTGGACAGTCCTGGGTCAGTCTGTAAATTATTGTTAATTGATAGAAGAAGACGGAATGCGTCTTTCTTTTGTTTTGTTTTTTAAAAACCATCCAGTTCATTGTCTAACCGTTCAGCCGGACTCTCTTGGGTAGGATGTGACTGTGACTTTTTTGTTAATGTTGGGGAATTGGGGGAGAAAGGAATTATAAAGGACGCATCAAAGGAAAAGAACAAGAACGGGTGAACAGCTGCATCTCAAAGAGAAGAACAAAACTCAATTGGGTATGTATTCTCTCTCTCTCTCTCTCTCTCTCTCTCTCTCTCTCTCTCTCTCTCTCTCTCTCGTCTTCTTCTCTCTCACCACTATCCTTTTAATTTCAGGGAACACTACCACCTCCCATAGCTTCGTGGCTAGTGAATTCAGAGAAGGAAAAAACTTTGCTTATGTGTTGTAAATGAGGTCCGGTCTTTTGCATTTCTTACCAGAGCTGCAAACCTCTAGAGAGAACTTGGTGAAATCCCTGGTCGCTAGCCGCTGAGCTGCTCTTAATCTCCGAAACGGGGTTCAGCACCTGGGACAGCTCAAAGTAATAAGGGCTTATGTCGCCACCTTCCGGCCAATGTTTTAGAGCACCTCTAGAAACCCTTGTCTTACAGAAATTAAGCAGGTATTGAGGAAATCCTGCAACCTCAAGAGGAAGACAGTTATTAAAAGACAAATAGCATTAAGCTTTGTCTTTTTTCTATTTTCTTAGAAAATATCTTTTAGTGCCCTATTTTGCTCTATATATCAAGGCTGTTATATGAAAGTCTGCATTATCTGTCATTCCCATGTTCTGAGAATGTCATTTTAATAAACCGAGGCAAACAACTTCATCTGTCTTGTTTTCATGCTGTCATAACTTTCACTTAGGAACTCACACATTTACACACATTTACCTTTTATTGGAGGAAAAAACAGTATTGCATTTTCCAAATGAGATGACAGAACAATAGAAAATAGACTTCCATGGATTTGGGTTCTAAGCTGTTTCCTTTACCAAGAAAACCAAATTTAATCCCATTTGAACATAGGTAAAGAATGAGACTTCTTTCTAATCAACTAGAATAAACACAAGTTTATTCTAGACTACAGTAAGCACAAGTTCCTTTATATATCCTGATTATATGCCTGATGTGAAGGAAAAGTGCAGAATGCAATTCCAAAAGACTCTAGATAATATGCACAGATTCACTACAGATTGCAAAAGTCTTAATATTGTGCTAAAATTTTAGCTCTGAATTTCATAGCTTTGAATTCTCCAAGACCAAACAAAAGAGCAATCACCAAAGCATCAAAGAAAATCCAGTCAGGCCAGTGCATACAGTACAGGGCAGAGTGTTTGGAGATGGATTGTTTTACAATTCAGTGCTGGGCACAGTTCCCACTCAATCATTCCAGCATGCCACAACAATTAACCTGCCATTTATGATGATTCATGGCATTGAAAAGAAAGAAATGAGTGTACATGGCAATACTGGCTACAGACTCTAAAGATGTCCTTTTAAGATTTGTGAAGGATTCCATTCGTACTTTTTAAATCTCCTCACAAATCCAGAAGTAAATAGCTCTGTTAAAATACAGTTAGAGGTTCAAAAATTTTAATGGGAAAATATTTATAATCTGAATTTCCCAAAATAAAACTTTGAAAATATAGTTGAGAATATAAATATAGTTGAATATAGTTGAGAATTGTGTCAACCTTAGCATGTAAATATATAAATCACAAATAAACCAGTAAATATGTCAGTCAGAGCTCATGCTTCCATCTGTTGGATCCCAAATGGTTTAATAACTGAAAAATTTATTTATTTATTTTCAAGAAATCTAAAATGCTGTAAATCTAGAGTTAATATTTGTAAGGTCTGGCACTTGCTATTCTGCTTTAAATAAGCTACAATGTAACATTTTTATCTAAGTTTGAAAATCCCAAGAGTTCATGTTTTTCCTCAGAAGTAATGAACATAATATATAATTTCTTAAAATTTAAAGCAAGTTTTTTAAGAACTCTTATGAATACTAGGAAGAAAATAGAAGTATAAAAGGATATGCAGCACTGACTATGGTTTCATAATCTGCAAGTGACTAATAGATAATTATGTATAACTTTTTTAAAATAATAATACTGTGATATATAATAAAAGCAGAATGATGTTGCATTTCTTCCTGTTCACACTTTGCCAATTCTTCAATGTTTGACTCTTAAAGATACAGAATCCCAGATATAGCTAAGGAAAATAGTGCAAACCAAAGCTCCTGTATAAAGAGTTAAACTCTTATTCTTCAAGGTCTCTAAAGTTAACCTAAAGAAAAGCTATCTTTAGAGCGGATATTATTGATGATATCATTTGGAAAAAATGTTCAGTCATTCTGCTTTAATTTTTTGTCTGAATTTACTAGATGCAAGCGTGAATTTGTCAGGTTATGAATTTGGGGTATGATACATCATCCATCATGTGAAAGTTCTCTAAAATAGTTTATGAGATAAACATTTTTTAACATTTCTACAGGAAATTTGATACATGCCTAGCATTTCAATGTAGTTCTTTGACCAGGGACACAAGATAAAAAGATGTTAAGCTGAAGTTTTGCCATG